GGGCCCTCCGGGTGTGCGCGGAGCTCCTGGTATCCCAGGGGATCACAACGATGATGCTTCCCGACCCTTCCTGGGCGAACCACAAGCCGCTGCTGGGAGGAGGAGGGCTGAAGATCACGGAGTACCGCTACTTCAAGCAAGATACGCACACTGTCGACATCGATAGCATGCTCGCGGACATCCAGGCTTGCCCCCCCAAGACTGCGATCATGTTTCAGGTTGTGATGTGTGGGTGGTGTGATGATGATGATGGAGATGATGATGATGGAGATGATGATGATGATGATGGAGATGATGATGATGGAGATGATGATGATGGAGACGACGACGATGACGACGACGACGTTGATGTCGATATCGTTGATATCGTTGTTGTTGTTGATGATGATGTAGATGATGATCGTGGTGGTGGTGAAGAGGAGAAGAGACTACTACAGCTAATATTTGATGTGATGATGTCAATAATCGTGTACTGCACAACAATGTCTCGCTTTATGCTCATCCAATCACGTGTCTTGTTCATCTAATGTGTCTGTTTGGTTTGGCTTCCTCCATGTCTTGATCGTCTTCTCCTCTACAAGATTCTACCTCCCCACAAGCTCCTTCCCAGCTGACCTTGTTGTGACTTTAGGAAGTCAAATCGTCGGGGAGGTGTGGGTGGATGGAACGAGGCCGAAGCTTTTGGACGTGGATGATCTGAACGTTACAAACTCCCCGTTGCTGTCAAGTAACAGTTCAAACAATGTAAGGGATCGATGTTGTGGTGTGTGGGACAGCAAATGTGGGATCAAGAGAGAAGAGAAGAGAAGAGAAGAGAAGAGAAGAAAAAGGGAAGGGAAGGGAAGGGAAGGGATGAGATGAGATGAGATGAGATGAGATGAGATGAGATGAGATGAGATGAGATGAGACGAGATGAGATGAGATGAGATGAGATGAGATGAGATGAGACGAGACGAGATGAGATGGGATGAGATGAGATGGGATAAGTTTAAGAGATCAATATCTCATCGCTACTTCCGTTCGTTCTTCTCCTTCGCTGTCGTCAACGTGGTTTTCACTGACCGGACTCAGATGTCGTCGACAACAGAGAATCCAACCATATGCTACCAGGAAGATGATCGACCAGAGTTAGAAGACGACAGCGAGGATAGGAAGGTGAATGTGCATGCAAGAGCGGATGTTGTCATGTTGTCATGTTGTCATGTTGTCATGTTGTCATGTTGTTCGAAGGCTGTCGTGATGAGATGTTCTCTGCATGTGACATGTACATGTCGTGAAGTTACCATGCTCTTGTGGAAGAAAACAGATGTTTGCTGTTCGTTTCTGATCTCTTGGTAAGATTGCAGAGCTACTGAAAGATGCGGAGGCGCTTTCGCTGCAAGGATACAGTGCGGAAGATTTCAAGAAGTTTGAGATGAGAGCATTTGACGTTTTTCTTTCTCACTTGTGCTTGTAGGCACCTTGAAAGCAACCCAACGTTGAGAAGTGACATCGAAAGAGGTGAAATGATGACGTTCGATTCATGCTCGTGTCTGCTCCTAGTGGTGGTGGTAGTGCTCTTGCAATGATTTCTTTTGGAGATGATCAAAGTTATGGAGCGACGATTGATGGTTGCTGCTGTTGCTATGGTTGTTGCTGCTGCTATTGTTGTTGTTGCTGCTGCTATTGTTGTTGCTGCTGCTATTGTTGTTGCTGCTGTTTCTGGTGCTGGTGCTGGTGCTGGTGCTGGTGGTGCTGGTGCTGGTGCTGGTGCTGGTGCTGGTGCTGGTGCTGGTGCAGTTGCTGTTGCTGTTGCTGTTGCAGTTGCTGGTGCTGCTGGTGTTGTTGTGGTCGTAGTGCTGGTGCTGGTGCTGGTGCTGTTGTGGTTGTGGTGGTTGTAGTGGTGGTGGTGGTGGTGGTGATGATGATGGTAACAATTGGAGTACAATGGTATGTTCTGACTTGTTGCATTTCTCAGAAGAAGAAGAGGTGTTATCATCATCGATGAGTCTGTTCGCTGATCGTCCTTGTCAAGAGGAGACATCCTTTCCTCCCTGCAGCTCCGCTGCACAACAGATACTACGCGATGCGGTGAGAGTGAGGAGGAGATCAAGGCGGGTGATCAAAAGCAAGAGGAGGAGGGAGGATGAGCAAGAAGTGATGGGGCAGGGGGAGGGGGAGAGGCAGAGGCAGGGGCAGGAAGAGAAGGAGCTGAGAAAGGAGGATGATTGTTTTTTCTGACTTTTTCACCTTCTAGTCATGGAAAGAGCCAAGCCAACGAGCAGGTGACTTTTGCACACTAAGTGCCTTGAAAGTTGACAACCTCGACAAAATTTGAGGATTCTCAGCTTGTCAAACCTGCCAGTTGACCCACTTGACAGGGGCTGATCGTCTCGGACCCTCTCAATGGGATCAGACAGTGGGGGCTGACGGAAGAAGGAAGAGAGCAGGTGAGGAGGAGGGGGCAGGAGGGGTGGGAGAAGGGGGAGGAGGAGGAGGTTGTGGTTGTGGTTGTTGTGGTGGTAGAGTTTCGGAAATGCTGGGGGTGCTGGTGCTGATGACAATGACGACGAAGTTTACATGTTTGTTTGTTTGTTTGGTTCATCAAGCTTACATGTTTGTTTGTTTGTTTGTTTGGTTCATAAAGGCCAAGTTGTCCGCCATCGAGTTCTGCCGTCAAGTTGCCCAAGACAAGAACACTTCAGTCCTCATCTTGTCCAGTGACTTTCGTCGCACTATAGAGACTGCGCAGGTAGGGAGGAGGAGGAGGAGGAAGTTGTATGTTTGGGAGGTTGACTTTTCTGCAGGAACTGAAGGTTGCTATGAATGATAGAAGAGCAGACCTTGTGGTCTGCAAGGAGGTACTGGATTAGTCCTGGTCCTCCTGCCTGCTGCTGCTGCTCCTCCTCCTCCTCCTCCTGCTGTCATGATTCATGATTCTCTTTTTGGTGTGATCGTTTTCATCAATTCTCCTTCCTTGTCTCTCCCTCACATCTGACTCGCTTCTCAGCTCCGCGAGCGATACTTCGGGCAACTTGAGCTGGGCGATCATGCGAGGTGAAGTCCGGGCGGAGGGAGGTGTTCTGCTGAGAGGAGGAAGCAGGACTAGAAGGAGGAGAGGAGAGGAGGAGGAGGAGAGGAGGGAAGACGAGGGAACAGGAGGAGGAGGAGGAGAGGAGGGGAGGGGAGGAGGGGAAGTTGTGCTCTGGGGCTGACGATCATCAGGTACAATCAAGTGTGGGAGATGGATGCGCTCGACGGGAATCATCACTCGATGGGATGTGAAGCAGCGATAGAGGTCAGGAATCGAACCCTCCTCCCTCTTCCTCCTGCTCCTGCTCCTGCTCCTGCTCCTGCTCCTCCTCCCTATCTCTCTCCTGCTCCTGCTCCCTCTACTCCTGCTCCTTCTCCTGCTCCCCCCCCCCCTCCTCCTGCTCCCTCTGTTTCCCCTCCTCCTCTTGCTCGATCTATTCCCCTCCTACTCCTGCTCCTGGTCCTGGTCCTGGTCCTCCTTGTCCTCCTGCCTTCGCAGCTTCTCGTCCTCCCGTACTTTCCCTTTCCCTCCTTGTATTATCATGTTTCTTCTGTTCTTCCTCGTTTTCCTCGTTCCACCTCCTCTTCATCCTTCGCCACAAGGATCTCTCCCTCCTCCCTTTCGTTTGAATTTGGTTGACAGGTCAGGAATCGTGTCATGGGTCTCATTGAGAGGATAGAGGTGAGGAGGAGGAGGAGGAGGAGGAAGAGGAGGAGGAGGAGGAGGAGGAGGAGGGGGAAGGGGGAGGAGGAAAGGGATCGTCCGTCTGACTTTCTCTGTCAGCGAGAGCACAAGGGAAAACTTGTGTTCCTCGTTAGCCATGGAGATGCCCTGCAGGTCTTCCTGCTTTCTTGCTACTACTTCTATGTCTGCTTACCTTGCTGCTGCTGCTGCTGCTGCTGCTGCTGCTGCTACTGTTTCTCCTCCTCACGGACGATCAGATCACCCAAACTGCTTTTGCCGGACTCTCCGTGCGAGAACATCGGTAAGAGGACGGAGGAATGCAAGGAGGAGGAAGGGGGCAGGGGGGATAGGAGAGGGAGGAGGGAGGAGGGAAAAAGGTGGAGCCAGAAAGCAAAATGGAGGAGGGGAAGGGGGCGGACGAGGGGAAGAGGTGAGGGAGAGGTAGTAGAGAGTGGGAGGTAGAGAGCACAAGGCGGAGGGAAGTGACGGGCTATGTCAGGACTCTGCCGCATCTTCACCCGGCTCAGATCCGCGAACTTCTGCCGCGACTGAGAAGGAGAAGCTGAAGGCCAAGCGACAAGGCAGAAAGGGAGGGGAGGGTGAGGAAGGGAGGGAGAGGAGGGGAGGGAATAGGAGAAAATTATTCACAGGAGGGTGAAGCAGCAAGTTTGTTGACAAGTAGCTACTAGAGAGAGCAGCAAGATCAGTTTGCTCCTTATCTCTTTGCCTTCTTGTTCTTCTTGTCTGAACTGCTTGGCTCTGTCAAGTCATCAGCCTCGTGCTTCCTCCTCTCCCTCTCTACCCCCGACTCTGCTGCCTCCCTCTGACCTAAACGTCTGTGCCAACTGCCCTCCTCCTCCCCCTCCCTGCCTCTCCTTCTCCCCCTCCTCCTCCCCCACCCTGCCTCTCCTTCTCCCCCTCCTCCTCCCCCTCCCTGCCTCTCCTTCTCCCCACCTCCTCCTCCTCCCTGCCTCTCCTTCTCCCCCTCCTCCTCCTCTTACCCGGCTTTCTCTTCTTGTCGGACTTGTCGGACTTGTCGGGCTTGGCCTGTCACACGAGTCATCGTGTAAAAAAGAAGCGTGCGGGGAGATGGGACCAGGCGATCCAAGGGTGAGGAGGGAGGAGGAAAGCGAGGAGGAGAGCAGAGCAGAGTAGAGCAGAGCAGAGCAGAGCAGAGCAGAGCAGAGCAGAGGAGGAGGAGAGGAGAGGAGAGGAGAGGAGAGGAGAGGAGAGGAGAGGAGAGGAGAGGAGGAGGAAGGAGGAGGA